AAAAATATTTTGATCTTAAATAAAATGACAAATGCAATTTATTGTAACATATAGGTTATTATTGCAAAATTACATATTTGGCATAAAAAGTGCAAATGTAATTATATAAAATGATGTAAAATATTATAAAACATATATGTGATTGCAAATAATAGAGTTGGATGATTAAATCATCACAAAATAATTTAAGAGGGTAATTAATACATATTCAAGTAATTTAACTGCAAGAAAATTCGGTTTTAACGCTTTAAAAATTACAAAACAATTATAAAAATACTTGTATAACTATTGTAAATTGAGTAATGATGCAAAAATGATATTTTGAAAGTATATATACTATTTAAAAAAATATGAAGGTAAAATTGGGTATCAACAGTTGTGTCATCCATACAATTGTTCATCAGGAAAGCTTTCCTAGATCTCACCTTCTCCATCAACATATGCGCGAATTTTCAAGCACGACAAGTGATCAGCCACCTGATTTCGGTCCCCTTTCGATCTCTAGTTTCCACATCAAATTCCTATAAAAGAAGAACCCATCGAATTAGTCTAGGCTTAGCATCCTTTTTCTGAAATAAGTACCTGATAGCTGCATGGTCCATATCATGGTCCATGTAGATAATGACTTTATTTCTCACCAAGTAGGCTCTAAATTTGTCAAACGCGCATGCTACTGCTAGCAACTCTTTTTCTGTAACTATATAATTTATTTGTGCTCGATTCAGAGTTTTTCTAGCGTAGTAAATAGAGTGGAACACTTTATTTTTCCTTTGGCCCAAAACGGCCTCAATTGTCGTGTCACTGGCATCACACATTAACTCAAAATGCTCTCCCTAATCCGGGATGGTGATAATTGGTGCAGTCACCAATCTTTTTTTCAGCTCATCATAAGCCTTCAGGTAATCATCATCGAACTTGAAAGGAGTGTCCTTGTCAAGCAACCTGCACAAGGGAGCAGAAATCTTAGAGAAATCTTTAATGAATCTACGATAGAAACCTTCGTGACCCAAAAAGCTTCCGACTCCTTTGACATAAATTGGAGGTGGTGATTTATCAATTGCCTCCACTTTTGCCTTGTCCACCTCCAAACCTTCTTTAGACATCTTGCGCCCGAGTAAAATCTCTTCTCGTACTATAAATGACACTTCTCCCAATTTATCACCAAGTTCGTCTCTTCACACCTGGCAAGCACTTCACTCAAATTCATTAAGCATTCATCAAATTGTGGTCTGAAGGGCGAAAAATCATCCATAAATACTTCAATATATTTTCTACCATCTCAGTGAAGATTGCAATCATGCACCTTTGAAAAATCACAGGTGCATTGCACATGGTCTTCTCTTGGTCCTCCGGTGCAATTACCATTTGATTTATCCATCAATAAAATAATAATAATCTTGTTCAGCTAGCCTATATAACATTTGATTAATGAAGGGAAAGGGTAATTGGTCCTTTCTAGTGGCATTATTCAGTTTTCGGTGGTCTATGCAAATTTTTCTATTTTTTATAGTTCTAGTTGGAATTAGTTCATTATTCACATTTATCACCATTGTCATTCCACCCTTCTTAGGCATATATTTTACGGGACTTACCCACTTGCTATCAGAGATGAGAAAGATAATACCTGCATCGAGCCACTTTATGACCTCCTTTCTTATCACTTTTTTCATAAATGGATTCAAGCGGCGTTAGTGTTCCATACTTGGTATATGCTCATCCTCCATGAGAATTTTATGCATACAAAAAGCTGGGCTAATACCAAGGATGTCAGTCATGGTCCATCCAATCGCACGTTTGTGCTCTCGAAGCACTCAGAGTAGCTTTTCTTCCTGCAAATCAGATAATTTAGAAGATACAACAACAAGTAAAGTTTTATTAGCACCCAAATAAGCATAATGGAGGTGAGAGGGTAAGAGCTTAAGCTCCAATTTGGGAGTTTCTTCGATAGACAGCTTGGGTAGTTATCCAGTAGGTGTATCTAAAGCTCAAAATTTATCATCCTTTTTATCTAAGCACATGCATCCAGATGATACAAAATCTCCTTAACCTCATCATCCAAGTAAATGCTATCGAAAAACATAAGTGCTTTCTCTAGACTGTCATCCAGATGATCGCGAGGTCTTCATAGTGACTTGGAAGCTGAATTATCTTGTACATATTTATCTGTGCTAGATTTAGAGTTTTGCTAGCCTAGTAAATAGAGTGGAATACTTTATTTTTCATTTGACCCAAAACGGCCTCAATTGTCGTGTCACTGGCATCACACATTAACTCAAAATGATCTCCCTAATCCGGGGTGGTGATAATTGGTGCAGTCATCAATCTCTTTTTCAGCTCCTCATAAGCCTTCAGGCAAACATCATCGAACTTGAAAGGAGTGTCCTTGTCAAGCAACCTGCACAAGGGAGCAGAAATCTTAGAGAAATCTTAAATGAATCTACGATAGAAACATGTGTGACCCAAAAAGCTTCTGACTCCTTTGACATAAATTGGAGGTGGCGATTTATCAATTGCCTCCACTTTAGCCTTGTCCACCTCCAAACCTTCTTTAGACATCTTGCGCCCGAGTAAAATATTTTCTCGTACTATAAAATGACACTTTTCCCAATTTAGCACCAAGTTCGTCTCTTCACACCTGGCAAGCACTTCACTCAAATTCATTAAGTATTCATCAAAAGTTGGTCTGAAGGCCAAAAAATCATCCATAAATACTTCAATATATTTTCTACCAACTCAGTGAAGATTGCCATTATGCACCTTTGAAAAATCACAGGTGCATTGCACATGGTCTTCTCTTGGTCCTCCAGTGCAATTACCATTTGATTTATCCATCAATAAAATAATAATAATCTTGTTCAGCTAGCCTATATAACATTTGATTAATGAAGGAAAAGGGGAATTGGTCCTTTCTAGTGGCATTATTCAGTTTTCGGTGGTCTATGCAAATTTTCCAATCTTTGATAGTTCTAGTTGGAATTAGTTCATTATTCACATTTATCATGACCGTCATTCCACTCTTCTTAGGCACATATTTTGCGGGACTTACCCACTTGCTATCAGAGATGAGAAAGATAATACCTGCATCGAGCCACTTTATGACCTCTTTTCTTACCACTTTTTTCATAAATGGATTCAAGCGGCGTTGGTGTTTCATAGTTGGTATATGCTCATCCTCAATGAGAATTTTATGCGTACAAAAAGCTGGGCTAATACCATGGATGTCAGTCATGGTCCATCCAATCGCACGTTTGTGCTCTCGAAGCACTCAGAGTAGCTTTTCTTCCTGCAAATCAGATAATTTAGAAGATACAACAACAAGTAAAGTTTCATTAGCACCCAAATAAGCATAATGGAGGTGAGAGGGTAAGAGCTTAAGCTCCAATTTGGGAGTTTCTTCGATAGACGGCTTGGGTAGTTATCCAGTAGGTGTATCTAAAGCTCAAAATTTATCATCCTTTTTATCTAAGCACATGCATCCAGATGATGCACAATCTCCTTAACCTCATCATCTAAGTAAATGCTATCGTAAAACATAAGTGCTTTCTCTAGACTGTCATCCAAATGATCTCGAGGTCTTCATAGTGACTTGGAAGCTGAATTATCTTGTACATATTTATCTGTTCTGGATTCGGAGTTTTGCTAGCGTAGTAAATGGAGTGGAACACTTTATTTTTCCTTTGGCCCAAAACGGCCTCAATTGTCGTGTCACTGGCATCACACATTAACTCAAAATGCTCTCCCTAATCCGGGGTGGTGATAATTGGTGCAGTCACCAATCTCTTTTTCAGCTCCTCATAAGCCTTCAGGCATTCATCATCAAACTTGAAAGGAGTGTCCTTGTTAAGCAACCTGCACAAGGGAGCAAAAATCTTAGAGAAATCTTTAATTAATTTACGATAGAAACCTGTGTGACCCAAAAAGCTTATGACTCCTTTGACATAAATTGGAGGTGGTGATTTATCAATTGCCTCCACTTTTGCCTTATCCACCTCCAAACCTTCTTTATACATCTTGCGCCCGAGTAAAATCTCTTCTCGTACTATAAAATGACACTTCTCCCAATTTAGCACCAAATTCGTCTCTTCACACCTGGCAAGCACTTCACTCAAATTCATTAAGCATTCATCAAAAGGTGGTCTGAAGGCCGAAAAATCATCCATATATACTTCAATATATTTTCTACCATCTCAGTGAAGATTGCCATCATGCACCTTTGAAAAATCACAGGTGCATTGCACATGGTTTTCTCTTGCTCCTCTGGTGCAATTACCATTTGATTTATCCATCAATAAAATAATAATAGTCTTGTTCAGCTAGCCTATATAACATTTGATTAATGAAGGAAAAGGGGAATTGGTCCTTTCTAGTGGCATTATTCAGTTTTCGGTGGTCTATGCAAATTTTTCAATCTTTGATAGTTCTAGTTGGAATTAGTTCATTATTCATATTTATCACCACCGTCATTCCACCCTTCTTAGGCACATATTTTACGGGACTTACCCACTTGCTATCTGAGATGAGAAAGATAATACCTGCATCGAGCCACTTTATGACCTCATTTCTTACCATTTTTTTCATAAATGGATTCAAGCGGAGTTGGTGTTCCATACTTGGTATATGCTCATCCTTCATGAGAATTTTACGCATACAAAAAGCTGGGCTAATACCATGGATGTCAGCCATGGTCCATCCAATCGCACGTTTGTGCTCTCGAAGCACTCAGAGTAGCTTTTTTTCCTGCAAATCAGATAATTTAGAAGATACAACAACAAGTAAAGTTTTTTTTAGCACCCAAATAAGCATAATGGAGGTGATAGGGTAAAAGCTTAAGCTCCAATTTGGGAGTTTCTTCGATAGACGGTTTGGGTAGTTGTCTAGTAGGTGTATCTAGAGCTCAAAATTTATCATCCCTTTTATGTAAGCACATGCATCCAGATGATGCACAATCTCTTTATCCTCATCATCCAAGTAAATGCTATCATAAAACATAAGTGCTTTCTCTAGACTGTCATCCAGATGATCGCGAGGTCTTCATAGTAACTTGGAAGTTGAATTATCTTGTTCACATTAAAAATTGCTTCCACATTGTCAAATTCTAGAATTAGTTTTTCTTCTCGAACTTTTATGACTTCATCGGTGGTGGATAGGAGAGGTCGTCCCAAGATGATTGGGACATGTTCATCAGCTTCGTAGTCCAATATGATAAAATCTGCTGGAATAATAAATTTTTCAATCTGTAGAAACACATCTTTTATCACCCCTTCAGGATGAACAATGGATCTATCAGCAAGCTGCAATATGACTGTGGTTGGTCTTGGTCCCCCCAACCCCAACTGACTGAAGACCAATAAAGGCATCAAATTTATGCTTGCCCCCAAATCACATAATGTTTGTCCTACATCTACCTCACCAATTCGAATGGGCATGGTAAAGCTCCCAGGATCCTTTAGTGTTTTGGGAAACTTCTTTTGAATTCTTGAAGTACAGTATTCAGTAAGTGCAACTGTTTCAAACGCAGTCAATCTTTTTTTATTAGCCACAATGTCCTTGATATACTTAGCATATTTTGGGATTTCACGTAACACATCAACCAAAGAAAGATTCAATTCGACTTGGCTCAGCATGTCAAGAAATTTGTTGAACATTCTATCATCACTCTTATTCTTTAATCTTTGTGAGAAGGGGGGGTGGAGGCCTTGCAACTGGTATCTTTTCACCTTCATTATTTTCTTTCTCAATTTCCACCACAGGTTTAGGAATCAATTCACCTTCAGGAGTGACTTTTTCTTTCTTGCTTTTTGGTATTTCTTCTAATTCTATGTCATTCTTCAAAGTTACAACATTCACTTGAGGATTCTTTTCTGAATCGCTTGGAAGGGCACCCTCGGGTGGGATATTTTGGTGTGTCGCCAACTGCCCAACCTGTCTTTCTAGATTTCGAAAATCAGTCCTAAGTTGTTGGTTATCAAATAACAACTTTTTCAACAGATCATTGGTGCTATCTTCTACTTGTTGTGGCGGTTTTGGGGGTTGATTATGGTTTCCTTAGGGTCTGTATAGATTTTGATTCGTCTGATTCCACCCAATGAGAAGTTCGGGTGATTCTTCCAATTGGGATTATAAGTGTTCCCATACTATCCATTCCGGTTCACTAGACCTCTACCTTAATGTCCCACATAGTAAATAGATTCTGGATTCACCGAACATTGGTCACTCGTATGACCTTCTCCACAAATATTTTAAACTGCAATCATCTGTTGAACATGTTGCATCTAATGTGCCTATCTTATTATGATATTCGTCACCTGATTTGTCAATTTAGAAATTTCTATTCATATATTGAAAGCTCATCTAGCTCAAGTGTACCTGCTGCACTCTGTTTCATCATTCTCATTAGTTCACCCTCACCTTGCTAGTTATGATCATTCATGGTGAAGTTGTTCAATAGAGTATGAATTTTACTATATTGTTTTTGCATGCAACTTCCTGTACAAGTTGAGTCTAAATTTAATTTGGAGGTCTCATCTAACCCATCCACAAAAGTATGACCCAATACTTCATCAGTCTAACAATGATGCTGACAATATCTGAGTAGTTTCTTGTATCTTTCCCAGGCTTGACGAAGAGTCTCGCCATCTTTTTGTTGAAATCCCTGAATTTGGCTTCTAAGTGACTTTGTTTTCTTCGTAGGCAAAAACTTGATCCGATATTCCAGCGCTAGATCATCCCACGTGCGGATTGAATTTGTTGGATCTTTCTGCAATCATTCCTTTGCTTCCCCCAACAGAGAAAAGTGAAACAAGGTCAGTCTGAAATAATCCTTGTAGATGTTCGGAAAGTTGTATGTATCCGTAATCTCCAAAAACTTCTATATGTGCCTCTGTGGATCTTCATGAAATAGACCCACAAATTGCCATGTGGACTGGATTAGCTGCACCATATACTGTTTCAACTTAAGTGACCAGTTATGTCAAGCTTCACGATAGCCTGAGTCATGTTTGCAAGATTAGTCCTTGCAACCTCTATCATCGGCCTCTTTTCATTTTTCGCCATCTCTATTGGCTGTGGTTGGACTATGATGCCGAACTCTGCAGTTCTTACTCTTGCTTCGGCCTCCCTCCATAAATTTTGAAAAAGTCTTTCGAGTTTAGGTTCAGGAGAAGGAAGATCGTTCAGACTGTTACGTCTTCTTAGCATTCAATGTGAACACTTATAGAATCATAAATAGTAAAAAAATTAAAACTCAAACAAATAACGAATAAAAGCTTATTTCAGACAAGTAGCTAATTTTTAAATCTCCGGCAATGGCGCCAAAAACTTGTTGAGGCCAAACACACACGCAAGTATACGCGGTTGACTAGTAATAAAGTGATAAGAAAGTATCATCGCATGAGGATTTATGATTAACTTTTGTCCAACCTAAACTACATATAAGTTAATTGCTCAAGCGGTTATGAAGAAAATGATTGTGATTTTTACTACTAAAAATTACTAAGAAACTAGCAAGAAAACAAGGATGCAAATCGAGCAAACAAAAATTTAGAATTCAGTGAGATGGAAATATTCCAGGGTTATAGAATTAACGTCTCTCCTATTGTATTTTTCTGCTTGATCCAATTATTTGATCTATCTAATTTGTTGGTTAACAGGATTTATTATGCTCACGAAGTTCTTTCGACTCCTCACTCACCTATTCATGCCAACCTAAAACTATACTTCTATAGAATCAAAATTAACAAGAATGCATGAATATCTCCTAAATAAATAACCAAGTAAGGCAACTAGAATATGTCTATCTTAATTGCAAATCTATTTTCCGATGCTCGGATTCAAGAACTTACTCTATTCAATCTTACATGTAATCTATAGTTCTCATTTTCGAGTTCAACTATAAATTCGTAGATAGTATTTTACTGTTAGCTATGCAGTAAAATAATTAAATGCAAGATTAAATAAATAAATTAATATAATAATTCAAGTAATATCATTAACCGTCAAACAACAATAGTCAATAACAACCCATAACTCCAAAATAAAGGGGTTTCTAGCCACTCATGTTCATATCAACAACCAAAATATTATTTTTAAACATAAAAGCTATGAATGCTATACGGGGGATGGAAGAATCAATGAAATTCGTGCTCCATTCGTGTTTCTAAGCCTTTTCTTCCTTCAAAATATGAGCAACCCCTCACTAATCATGTTTAGGAGGTATTTATATGCTAGGGTCGGAGTCTCCATGTCCAAAACCGAGGAGAAAATATTTAATTAGCGGGCTCGGTAAGGGACCAGGCCTCTATCCTTACGAGGCTTCGTCTGTCGCGCGCTAGGAACCTCGCGGCGCGAGGCTGGGCGCGAGCCTTTAGTCGCTAGGAGCCAGGCATCACCTGGTTCTTGGCTTCGTCCGATTTTTGCCCTTTTTATGCTCTTTTCCTGTATTTTCGGCATCTATGTGTGCAACCCAGAGGCGGATCCAGGATTTCGGGAATATGGGTGCACCATTGATTTTATATTTAGTTTGATGATTTAAAATTTTGCTGCCATAACAACTTACGATCAAAAAATAGTTAATTTTATTATCACAAAAATATATCATGAGTTTAGTTTTCATACTTTGAAAATGATCCATAATTGCATCGAAAAGAAAAGGAAGACTTCGGGACAACTAAAATAAAAGGATGTGTTGCTGTATATAAAAAAAAAAGGAAAAGAAAGGCTTAAGAATAAGAAATAGCAATATATTTGAATTTCTATCCCATGACCTTAAGTTATCAAGGAATAGGGGGCCAAAAACAGTGAATCACTCTTTTGACTATGGGTGTCATCAACTAATAATAACTCATTTTTCACAAATTATGTATATAATTATGTATTTAATATAGTTGGATACATGTAAAAAGTAGATACCATTACGTGGATGGAAGTTGTTGGCAATGAGAAAAGTAAGGGGAATCCAATTATGCAAACTTTGGTCAAATAATCAAATGTGTTACCTTAACACCAAAGTAGGAGGCCAAGCCAACACAAAAGTGTGGGAAAAAAAACACCATATTTTCTTTCATTCTTTTAAATAAAAGGTGATGACTTAAATCCCACAAAGTAGAGAGTTGATATCACTTTCAAAAGAAACAATTCCAATGTTATCATCATACTCGCATTAGTACCCAAAGAAGCACAGACAAACTTTTCCCTTTTGGACAACCAAAAAAGTTCCTCCAATTCTCTTTTTCATATCACTCCTTTTTCTCCTTCTATTCCTTACTGATTTTCTCTCCATAACCCCCTCAAGAAAATATCTTGGGAATTTGGACACACTTTTTCTACGGGTGACAGAGACTTAGCTCCCGTTTGGACATTAATTTTGGTTATTTTTAAAAAACAAATTAAAATAATTGTTTGTTTATAAAATTTAATCAGTTTTTTCAAAAAAACTTCAAGTTCCACCGACAAACCTTCAATATTTTTTCTAATAAAATACATGTTCAAACACAACTTCAACTTTCAAAAATTATTTTTCGATATAACTTCAAAAACTCTTTTTTTAAGTATCAACCAAATATATGACCAAACACTAGTTTAAGCTATAAGTACTAAAGAGCAATGTTTTAAAAGGCTTTCTTGGGACTCGTCTCGGGGCTTGCCCTAAGACTAATACGCGAGGCTTAGTTCTATGAGACTTACGTCCTAAAGAACCGACTGTGCCCCCGTACACGCCTAATGATCAACACTTGAGGCTCGCGTAGCAGTACTTCCTAACCTAATTTATGCGTCAAATTCCGAATTAGAATTGTCCACTCAATATTCTTTAACAAATGAATGATTAATATTCTATTTATCTATAGAAATATGAAGAATGAGAGTAACTCAAAATAATGAGTCATAGAATTGCATATTTAGTAATTGTGAATATCAAATATCATTTAAATATTTCTTCTGAAAATAGATAGTCAAGATTTACATCGTCACTTACTATAAGTCTTCATATCTTAGTTCTATGTCTATCAAAATTATCAAATTTTAATTATTTTGCTATTTGCAAGTAATTTTATATATATATATATATATTACAGTACTGATAAAGAAGATTGATTATTAACTTTTAAAGAGGTAAAGTGTGTAATTTGATAATATTTTAAAAGAAATTATAATTTTTAATTGTTCGAAAGATAAGATGTTATAGTTGATTTTTATCTCATAATAACTTTAACACTATTATATTTTTTATAATTATAAAAAAGCTATATATTTTATTTTTTATGAGTTATTTTAATTTATTTAATCTTTTTAAACTTTTAATGGGCTTTATATATTTTTTGTGTTCATTATGCTATTTTATTAATTTATAAATTAAAATTTTAAAAATATTCATGTGGCTTATACCCCATATCTCGGGGCTTACGCCTCGACCCAGATTAAATAAAATGCCTCACCTCACGCTCCCGCTTTTTAAAACACTGCTCAAGAGGAAGTTTTGAGTGTACTAATAGCCTGTTTGGCCAAGATTATTAAGAGGCCAAAAGTGCTTCTTCTTTTTTTTTTCCCTTCTCAAAAGCACATTTTTTTTAACTTTTGACCAAGCTTTTTTGGGGGGAGAAAGTGCTTTGGGGAAAAAGCAGAAGCAGTT